GCCAAGATTTTCCAAATTGCAGCTGTGGAGTGTCAAGTTCTGTGGTCTCAGCTGTGTAGCATATTTATGTTGTTTTATCAGAACAGATCATTTAGAGCGCAGCACTTGGAGCCTTTCTGAGTTTCTATGGTTTGGACTGAGTTAATTCTTTGTAATTTTAGTTCAGTTTATTATTTGCAGCATTAAACTGAAGTGGCAAATTCAATTTGCTAAAAAAGATGAATCATATTGTAAAGAGATGAATTGCCGAGCCATTAGCTCCTAAAATTCATGCTGTCTCCTTGGAAATACTGTACCTCAGTATACGTTAACAGCAACATGCCATGGAAAATGTATTACCAAGATATAAATTTTCATTTTTGTGAAAATTGTAATTTGCTTCTTCCAGAATGTTCATCTTCTGCCTCATCTCATATAGGGTGAGGGGTGAAGTGCTAAGAAAAGGGCCCTTAAGGGTCTTGTAGTTTTCCCTAGGTGGAGTCTGCTTTTAGAACCCCGACCTCACTTCATGAAAACAAAACGTGAGGAGGAAAAATAACCTCAAGGAGAAGCCGTGGCCTAGCCAACCACTGGACACTGAGCAGCACAAAAGCGCGTGTGGGCTGTCCTCGAACTCCCTCCGCCAAATGTCTCCACGTAGAAACCCACTTCCCATTAGGAATGTGTCTTTCTCACACACGCACTGGCAGATGCAGATACACACACACACACACACACACACACACACGTAGAAGTGGCATGCAGACAAAAACACAAGGTGAGGTGAACGGACAAATAAATGCTTAGTGTTCTTCTTTAAATCTGCCGTGATCTTTTGCACACACATGAACACAGACACAAATACAGCAGCGCCTGGGGTTAGACCCATCCCATCGTCTGAGACTGCTGATGCTGTCCTTACTGTAGCTGTGAGGCCTGAGGGCGTCACCGCATAAGTATTAACCTCGCTCATATTTTACAAGCACCACTTGCTACCCCAGGCCAACATAAACAGGTGTGCACGCCAAATTGGGCGTCATTACTCCCCAGGCTAATGTCTTGTCTGCTTATATATATAGATGAAACTTTCACTTTGCTATCTGTGAATCTGAAGTTATTTACAGTTTCTGTAGCACACATTTTTGAACCTGTTCAGTCAGAACCAAATGTAGGATAGAGGTTGCTTTTGTGTGTCTGTAGGTGTCTGGTTAGGGGATTCACATTCAATTAAAACTCTGTTGCATCTTGCTTTTTTTTTTTTTTTTTTTTTTTTTTTTTTAATTTTCATTTAATCATCATAAACAATATGTGCTAGTTTGATTTCAGTTCAGTTTATTGTGCTCTGCATTTTACTCTGATATAACACTGAAGATATTCTGAAAAAGGCCTCTCAGATCTCTGCTGTCTGTGCGAGAGAGAGAGAGAGAAAGAGAGAGAGAGAGAGAGAGAGAGAGAGAGACAACACACACTTCTGCAAAAACCCCCGAGCACGCACCAGCAGCAGAGACCCACGCTGGCACATTATTTGGACAATACAGTCTCAGATGGATGGAGGCAGTCAGGTAGTGCTCAGAGTCCTCAGTCTGGGGTCTTGACGATCCCCACTTTGCCTTGTGGTCTATGATGTCACACAGGGCTCTGCCTTTGAATGGCCATGTGTTCCTCACCACTAATATCAAACAGATGATGAGAAACCTCCAAATGATGGTCTTTCACTAAGACAAGCAGTCAAAACAAAGTTAAAGGAACACAGAAAAACACCACTCCAAGCGCTCGCATGAAAAAAAAAAAAGACTATACGTTCTTAATTGCTGCAGGCTGTGTTGCGGACAGTGTCAGGCTGTATTGTGTGCTCTTCTGCTTTGTTGAAAATTTTAACGTTTTAAACCGGCACTTTCATGGCAAAAAGACTGCTTACATTTCTGTCCACAACGGCTGCTAAGAGGTGTTTTCAGCACAGTAGTACTTCCATGTTTTTCTGTCACCTTAACCAAAGCCTTCACATCCTGGAATAACAAACAAGACTTAAAGGATTGCCCCAGTATAATCCGTCTTCCATGGGACTGTTAAACATCCCTTTCCTCAACTGAGGAGGAGTCTGTAATTGAAGTGCAGTGTCTGGAAGACAACAATCCTTTTTCTCCTCATTTGGTGTCTGGCTAAGCTCAAGCATCAGCTCAGAAGACCTCTGACTCCTGGATTTTTAATTTCATCCTATCATTTGGGTAATTTATTTCTTTGCCATTCTTGATCCCCCCCCCCTCCGCTCTTGTAGACGTGTCTTATCTTTGAGAGGCCAAGCTTCTGATCTGAACATTCCTCACTTTGTCTCACTTTGCCAAAGTTACAAACTACAAGAGGAGGCAGAATGATGGAGCTAATTCAAAGGAATTTGGGAGGGCTTTTGTCACATCACAAAACTGAAGAAATTCTGAAAAAAAAAAAGCCAAAAGACTTTGTTCACTGTCTAGATTGGATGTCATTTTTCTGATGGTGTATAAATTTATTGTAAACTACCCCCAAAAATGCAAAACTAAAAGTTGTTTTGTGCTTCTTTGGCTAACATCCATTCAATTATCTATGCGATCTCCAGATGATAAAAGGTTTTGTCAGCCGAATGAGGAATTAACGCTGGAGGATAGACCTGTTCTCAGCTACTTCATTGGTTCATATCATTTCAAACTTTCAGATGATGATGAGGTCAATGACCACCACTTGTGTACACAAACTTTTTCAGTTTTCTGTCTCCTCTGTCCTCTTCAATCTGTATAAATGCAAACTGGCAGTCTCGTGACTCTTTCAAATCCTCTTTGGGGTCAATTAAAGCTACCCTGGTTTCCCTAAGCACTGATATGGTTTGCCAGTGAACTCTGAATAGTGAGATCATATGATGAATTTGCATAAAGTTGATGCATGGCCTTGGCAGACATAAGCTACGCCCTTTCCAGTGATTTTAGTGGTCATGTTACTTTGCTGTTACATCTTCCCTCCTAACCGGGCCCTGAATTGGAAAAGTGGGCGCGTAGCTCCCAGTGTGAATTAGACCAGAAGCATTAGCTTGCAGAATATATCCCAATGAACTAATGATCCTGACACCCAAACAATAGCTGCTTTAGAAGAAGGCACACACAGCAGACTCTGTTTTTCTATCTCATATTTTTAATGACAAAATGTTTGTCAGAAACAAATGGATTTATTTTTCTCAATCCAGGGCATAGTATGGGGAGCTTATGCGGTTCCGGTCCCCAGGGCTTCAGACAACTAACAAAACACATCTTACTTCTGCTCTGCTGCCCACCTACAATGCTTTTCACATACAGGAGGACAAGTGGGAGCGTCCAGCAAATGAATGAAGTAGCATGACTCTCTTTCACAGAGCCACTTCATAGAAAGAGCTGGATGGAACCACTGACAATGATAGTGTCCAAAATGGGCATTTATGAATAATGTAAATTATGTTAAGTATTTGATTGCAAAATCCCTGCCTCAAAAATTACAGCTCTATCAACTCCTATGCTTTTTCATTTTCTGTGATCAGCAACATTAGCAATAAAAATCAATTAAAAATTCAAGACCACCATTATGAAGGCCAGAAAGATTGAAAAATTCTAAATTATTGATCATGAAATTATTGCTGAGATAAATACTCTTTTACCATATCTTTTACCATGCTTTGCACACAGTCCCAAACTTGCTTCGACAGCTGCTCCTACTTATATGGTGTACCCACTCTTTCTCCAAACCACTCTCAATTAGCTCCTCTTCTAAATAACCACTCTTTTCACTTGCAGTTTCCGGCTACACATGCACCTCCTTGTTTCATCAAGCCATCCCATCCATCTCAAAAACACCCTCACAAAAGAACTACACTCTTGTTTGTGTGTCTAAAAACAAGAGGCACACTGAGCCACTTCCTATTCATCCATCAGGTCATTTGCATGAAGGCTCTCTCCCCATTTAGTGACTCCGAACAGCTCTGCCAACACAGACAGCGAGAGAGGCTCGAGTGTTGAGGCAGTTATCCTGTCTTTCTGCATCCTAAATCCTCATTCTGTTTATCCTGTGTCTGAGTGTCATGAATTGTACCGCATCATGCTTTGAGAGCACACCGCTGATATGATCTGCTGTTCCAACCAGCAGAGAAAATAAACCTGCAAAGTGATGAGGTAAAGAGTTACTGTTGGTGTCACAGGTGGCTGTGACCACCCAAGTCAGACAGCCCCAATTAATTTGCAAAAAAAAAAAAAAAAAAAAAAAAAAATCTTTTCATCCTTAAACAAAAACCAGTTCCAACTTGATGAATAATCACATTTTTCAGGGTTACTAGGGATTTTTTTTTTTTTCGGAGGGGGGGGGGGCAATGTTATTCAATTTTAATGGAAAATAACTGTTTTCCATAATCCTTGTTACTTCTTGTGTTTCTTTTTTCCTTCCCTCTCTGTGTTTCTGATCACATCTCAGCTTGACACAGACATGGAGAAGAAGCTCCTTTCCATGCTGGGAGAGATAATTGACTTCTGTTCCGTGCGTGCCACAATCAAGACACAAGACCACAGCATATTACGAACATGTGCTGTGTACAAAATAATGTCAAAGTCAGCACACCGCTTGATTTATTTATTTTTGATTTTTAACGATTTATGCTTCCTAATGCATTTGCCAGTTACTATATTAAGCGTGGTTGGAATGTTTGAATAACAGACTTCTCCGTAAAGTTTGGCTTCAAACCTGGACACACACAATGACCAAATTTAATGTGTGTGTTTTCTTCGTAGGGAGAGGATTTATGAAAATAATAGCTTTGGATATTTGTTGGAACAGTGGATATGGGCAACTGAACACTGAGACATAACGGGAACATTCTTGTACCAACAGGCATTGAGCAATAAAATGAAGAATGTGGATTCCTTAAAGGATAAGCTTTCTTGTATGTTTCAAAATACAATTCATCATTACATTAAAGACACATCAGTCTTTTCACACAAGTTTTTTTCCTTGTCAAAGGAAACAGGGTCTTTTAAAATGCCTGCAATTGGATTTATTTTAATCTATTTCAGAAGAAAAACATGAATGTCAGAATGAGACTATATGCTAGATATGTTATATCAATAAGTTACTTTTACTGAGTAAATATGCAAAACCATTTACATGACAACTGTCCTCGATCCATCTGAGTAGCACCTCTACTGAAATAAAATAAGTTAAAACTGATAATACTAAACTAAACAGCACTAATCATGCGAAGTGCACGACTCGGCTTCATCGGTCTCTAGATCTCTAAAATATGTGGTTATCATAAATGTGCAAAAATTATAATACATTCTAAACTTATTAATTAGTATGTAAACCAAAAGATAAACTGGCCTATATAGTCTGTAAACCTCACATGACCTCGGAACAATGCGGCACTGTAGATTAAAGCTGAATAGACGGCAACAACGCAAATATTGAAAAAAAACAAAACAAAACAAAGTGGTTATAACTTGCAGTGCCCCAAAGCACTGCACATTCTCAGCCCAAAGTGAAGTGTTAGCCTATAGCCGATTATTTAGCCTCTTTCACGCTGCATGTATTAAAGGAACAATTCAACATTTTGTGAAAACGCTTATATTCACTTTCTTGCCAGCACTTAAACGAAAGGATCGATACCAGTCTCATATCTGTGAATCACATTTAGAGCTAGAGCCAGAAGGCAATTAGCTTAGCTTAGCTTAGCATAAAAACTGAAAGCAGTGTGAAACAGCTAGCTGGAATCTCTCCAAAGTTAAAAAAAATACACCTACCAACACCTTTAAAGTTTACTAATATTAAACACAATGTATCACTTTTGTCCAATTCATACAAAGGCATGTAAAAACAAAAATATATGGTTTTACAGGGAGTTAAATGCTTTAACAATCTTCTTGGAGAACAACATCGGGATAGACTGACTTTCTGGAGTCTTGTTGTCACTGCAGAGGTACTGTTGTTCATCAAGAAATAGTTACAGCACTTAACTAATTTTTATTAGCTCCGGCCAACCTTCCTATCAGTTATGAACACATTGTACTTACCGATTTTAATATCAATGGTCTGAGGATGCTGAGACATCTCTAAAAAGGCTAGCAAAACGTATTTGCAAGAAGAAAAAACAAAGGCAAACAGTGAAATTATTGTCCAGGCTATCTAATGATAACATTCATCACAGTTGACAGAATGATTCAACTTTCACCAGCTGTGGTTGTTATTGTTGTGCACTCTTTAGCAACAAAGTGGTTTAGATGATCTGTCTAAACTGTTGGCTTGTTTTTCAACCTTTCTCAATTTTCTCATCATCTCACTTTTTGATTTTACCTCATCCAATTTAGCTGTATCAGTGTGTTCCCAGCTCTCAACAATTACCTTAGTGAGTACAATGTTGTCATTACTGATAGAAATGATATCCAAATCTAAAATAAGATCCAAGTTGAAATAAACTGAATTCACCTTTATTGTTGTGGCAGAACAGAGCTAATCTAATCAGGAGTAAAAATTCCTCTATAACTCTAATGAGAACAAGTGAGTGTGAATCAGACCCAAATTGTTGCCTTGTATTAAGTGAAAAACCTGATAAAGACTTGTCTGGCAGCATATCAGGCTAAATAATAACAATAATAATAATAATCTCTTCTATAGGTTTGGTTATCACTGCTATTATATGCATGGCTGTATAGTTGTATTAGTCACGCCACTGACCACAGCTTTATAGATATTTTTGAAATGAATTAAGGTTCAACTTCAGTTGATATTTTAGCAATGAACTGCCAAACTGAGTCAAATGGGAGTTTATTTAGTTCTCATGAGTCGTATCTGAATAAAAAATATCAGTGCAGCACTCGACAACACATCCAGCAACATATCAGTTTCATGTTTAATGAATTGAGGAAGGATCTCTGCAGTTAAACGAGTTTTCTTGCTACGGTCTCTTAACTGAAATGGCAAAGGCATCCAAATAGATGTTACTGCTTGGGGAAAAAAGGATTGCAAACAATCTACGCTACAATAGAACCAAGGTGTTTGAATGTGAAACACACTGTAATGATGTCTTTTGTTGTCATCACACCAGTAGCAATGAAACCTTTTTTTTTCTTTCTTTTTTTTAAGAAAAGATGAGGTGTTTTGGGGATTGGGGGGTCATTTTCTAATAGACACACATCTTCAGTCAGAGTTTCTAAAAAGTATTTTTCTTTACACTTAGTACAAAAAAAGACATCTCTACCCGTTAGTGCTTCGTTTTAAGATACTATAACATAAATAAACAATTTATTTTCAGTGTTCAGAACAGACAGTTCCAGTGTGACTGGAAAACTAACATACTCCACCATATTCCAGTTGGCAGCAGAGGGTTTAACAGAGTTCTCCACTCAGATTTTGGCGCACCCCAACGCACCATACTTACAAAATGTTCTTCATTTCTGCAAACCTCCAACATAAGCCCCAGTCAGTTTGGGGGGTTATTCATGTCAAGATTCACTTTTTCTTTCCCCTTTAGTGAAAATACAACAAAACCCTTAAAGGTTTTCAATGAAGACTTGACATATCTCTCTCAGTCACCCATCATCAGCTGCTGTCATTTTGATCAACTCCCAGGTTACTGTGTTTCTTCTCCATGCACGAGTCTCTTGTCAATTTAACAGTTACAAATCCCAGAGTGCAAAGCACAGTTCCCACCGAGGGCCTCATTCATTACCTGTGGTCCCAACTTCACTGTGGATACATCAGTACATGAGCATAACCTCTATGTGACAGTAAAGTTCTGGGGTATTACCTACTGATATTTAGCATTTACTTTCTGAAAAGCAATTAGATAGATTCTGCTGTGCAAAACGATGCCATGAAGAGCTGATAGTGTAAATTCCATTCCTTTATTTCAAAATCTCTCACTGATCCAAGTCACACATTTATCTCGCTCTCTCAGGTCTTCCTCATTCAGCTAGTCCTTTGCGCCTCAATTCCTGGCACTGAGTTCCTCACGTCCTTATTTGCAGGTAAACACCTCCGTCCTCTCACTGCATGTGTTGCACTTGACGAAGCAGCACCATTGGAACTTACAATTGCACTGCCACACTTTGGTGTACTGGTGTGTATTGTAGCCCCGGCCGCAGCACATAAGGTCGCAGCCGTCTGTATGTGGCGAAGTGCGGTTGCACAGGCGTCCCTGGGTGCCCACGCTCCCTGTGGCTGCGTCCTCCTCGCAGTAGTTGGGTGACCTCTCGATGTAGACAAGGTCCGTCTCCATGGGCTTTCGGTAGCCCTGAGTCTGCTTCACCTTGAGGTGGGTGGGCTGGCGCAGTCGGCTAGCCCGGACTACCTCCACGTGCACGGCTTCGTTGTACTTGTCCTTGAGTACGTAGCCAATCTCGCGGAACTTGGGAAGTGTAGTCCAACAGGTCTTGGTGGTGCAGGAGCCCGAGACGCCATGGCACTTGCACTCTAGCTTCATCCTTTCTTCTAGAACCTGAGGAGTGATAGAGAAAATACAACATCTGTAGAACTGCAACGAATATAGACATGAAATTGAACTCCGAAGCATGAACTAATAACAATCAACCTTGACAGAGGATGACCCCATGTCGAATTACAGAAAATACAGTGTCTAAACTTTCCTCTTGATTTATCTAGCCATGCAGAAAGTTTTGGTTTCACTTGTGCAGGTTTTCAGATCTCCACCTCTGAGATTTATGCCTCATATCAATATAATGGAAGGATATGGCCTTTTTTGTGTGGAGAAAAAAAATTTAACTAAAACAAAATCAACAGTAATGTGTCTTACCTCACTACTACCTACTATTACGGTGCCATCAGCAGTTTTCATTGGAGCTAGTCTCTACCCGAGAAATATTCTTTTTGCCTCCATTGCATACTGAATAGAGGTGGCAGCAGAAACCTTGAAGTATCTTGAAAACAAATAAAACCAAACATATCTGTATGGCTAGATACCACTTGAAGTAAGCAAGAAAATGTGTCTTTTTGTAATTTGGGTGAACCAACCCAACTGTAGTTATTGACATGCAATCTGCCACTCAACATCCCGTTTCCTGCTGTGTGTACTGTATCGCATTACTGCAAATGCAAAAACAACATACCAGTAAAATGGCACGACCGCTTTATTCTCACCAAGACACTAACATTTTCCTAGATGAAATACAAGTTAACATTAGTCTATATTACCTCGAAATGGTGTAGGAACAGTTTAAGGCTAGCCATTTTATATTTCTGACATCCATGTATACATTGACAGATAAATTGTTTGAGTGATTTATCAATGAATAACCAAGTTTTACCCAGATGCTGGCTGAATGCTAGCTTTGTGTTGTGTTGTTTTTTAAGTGGAAACAAATGTGAAATATGTCAGATCAACTAAATGTCAAGATATTTATTTGAATTTTTGTGTAAAAACTGTGATGGCAATAAGGCATTTCAGCTAGTAAATCCCGTGCATTTATGCCACAGACACTTAAGTCTGACAGTCAGGCAATGCCAATCTGACTTGGGAGTGGAGTAACAGACCTTTGTGAGAAATCCAAGCATATCTGAAAATTTGAGTCATGGTTGACGTGCTGTTTCATGTCCCGAAGGAGGGAAAATTCTACTTACTGGTAATATCCCATCCTGTAATTTAGTCTACCTTCCCTAAACCACATCAATGACAGAGGAAAACAAACATGGATCTCATACGGCTATCAATCATCTTGGATAATTTGAAGCCAGATTATTGTGTCATTAAATGTGTTGCACATGCAGTACCAAACAAAGACAAACTCAATTAATTGTTTACAGCTGGACAAGAGACTCGAGGTTTGAGTGCTCAAACAATATTGTGATAAATAGAACAACACAATGTGTTGCACATGCATGAAAGTGAATTTGAGTATTATTTAAATACCACGGTTATACATTCAGATGCTTTTAGTCATCTTAAATGCAATAATTTACTTTTTTTTTTTTTTTTAGGTTATTCCCTTGTGCAGACTTGGTTTTCATTTCTCTTTGAGGTCATCTCCAACATATGGTACACAGGCAGAATGTTTTCTCTTTGCTGCCTGATCCTGGGGCATTTGGGAAATGTTGTGCGCTGTCATCACTATTTAAGTGTCAATCTTTGCCCTGTGGGTCTTCGAAAACTCAAATAAAACTCACAATAAGAAGTGTACCCTCTCCATCTCTGCTGAACTGTTCTCAAAGGCAAAGGAACAGAGGAAAGAGGGGGTGGAGTTCCAATGGGTCATATTAACATGTTTGTAATAGTCCTGACATGACTCCTATAACCCAATTAGGAACCTCCGACTTGCTTGAACGATGTGATGTGTCTTTGTTGTATAAGATCTAAGTTCGGTTGGCAGGGCATTTTTCCAGTGCAGCTTTTTTCCTGGCGCCTCGCTTCGCCAGCGGCACAAGTCATTGCATTTCTATCAGACACTTACGAAACGTACACAAGAGTTGTTCAGTATCTCTGTCGTGTCACGTGATCACAGTTTCCCAATGTGAGGACATTTGATTGAAAAAACATGAGCTCCAGCAAACCCATTGAAAGCTGGGGTCAGCTGTCAATCTCGTCTCGGATGTTGATTCAGAATGAGGATTTCCAAAAATGTATAGTACAAAAAAAAAAAAAAAAAAAACCCCACAAGGAATGCCTGGCATAAGGAGTCTGACAGATGCATGGAAACATTTACTTAAACTGTGTCCATCAAAGCCCCTGATCTGTTTCTAATTAGTCCAATATGACCAGACTCCCATCTACAGATCACTTGTCAAACACACACACACACACACACACACACACACAATGCAAGATGAAAGAGATCTCAGGGTGATTCACTGGGTGTTCTTTTGTGTTCGGTTGAGTCACGGAACGTATTGTAATTTTTGTTTTGTTTCAATGATGCTTCTTATAAGTGATTAGAAAACAAAATCTCAGCTGGATCCCATCAGAGGCTACCTCCTCCCTCATCAGCATCACAATCATTTTTATCAGCTCATTTGTCTTGAATTTATTGCTGCAAAAGCTTTTTAGTGCAGAATTGATCGCACATGCTGCTACAAAAATGAAAGATGATCTCACCAACTTGCAGGTAAACTATTTTTCCCAATCAAAAAAACCTGCCAGTGTGGGAATTTTCTTTCCCACATAAAAACAGCCGTGTATTCTGATTAAATTACCAATAAGAGACCCATTCACACTTCCAGATTGTCTTATATCCAAATAAAATCCACATGTAACTTAATACACTTTGATTTAGGAATAGCCACATATATGCATCTCCATTAGCCAGGTCATAAATCTGATGGCGATCCATTATGGTTTTCCTGCACTACATGCAACTCAGGGCCTGCAGTCTAGTCCAGAGAGTGGTCGTAATGCACCTGTAGCAATTCAGTTACAACATCTCACAGTCAACAGTAACGGCGAGCTCCTTAATAATTGTCCATAAACTTACACAAGTACATGGATGAATTGCATTTATGGACTATGAGCAAGACTAAAGACGGTTTGAACGTTCATATTTCAATCCATCTTGAATTCTTCTTGGATGCATTAACACATAGCTCTTTTGATATCTGATAGCTATCCAATCCGCCCAAGTGACTAAGTGCTAACAGGGCCAAACAAACTATGTGTAAACCCAGAGAAGGCTCAGACCTCTGTATCTTATAAAATCTCCTCCAGTCAAAGAAAGACTTTCCTTCTGTCTCAGCACTGGCATGCAGCGCAGACCCCTATCAGTCTGCTGTGTTAACACCGGCAGTGTAAACCTGCTTTCACACCCTGAATAGACGCAGTCAAATGACAGTGTCATGTTTTGGGATTGTGCAGAGAACTGCAATAATACCCTGTCCTCAGCATTTCATAATTCTTTGACAGGAGCTGGAAAGCAGGGATGGCGGTCCATATGGCAACCACTGGCCAGGCTCTTATTTTCCCAGTAAATGATAAAGCCCAAGTTATTAATTAGATCCATTTGTCAACATAACATCATCTCTCTTTTTTTTTTTACCTCTCACCCTCTTTGCGTCTCTTTTTCTTTCCACCACAACTGTTGTGGGATGACTAATAGCAAACAAACGTGTCCATAATGAACCTTGCCAACATGGTCTCTCAGAAATAAAAGCCTCCCTCTTAGTAATTGGCTGAAGATAAACACGCTGCTGAAAGGCTAACCAAGGATCAATCAGTCAACAACTTGATCAATCACAGTTTCTGTCACATGACTGTATGACGTTTTGCACTTGATCTGGGACTGTTTGCTGTTCTGCACTGGAACACATTAACACACAAATCTGTGCATCCATCTATCCACATGCGCACACACACAACCTCTCTGTTTATACTGAGTCATAAAATGTTATGCCTCTTTAGAGGAAAATTATTTCATGTCATCTATTGTCAGCTCTCTTTTCCATTTTATTACAACTTGGGTCTGTGTTTCCTCATTTTGGCCATCACTTTTATTGCTTCTGATAAACATAATATAACAATAATGTAATTGCTGAGATCTGGGAGCACAGAAACATTGCTGCAACAAAGTGGGGGCAAGAAGCATGGGCGGTAAAACGATCTGCCAAGTTGTAAACAAACTTAAACAGCTCAGCCAGATTATCTAAACCAGTGTATTTGGAGATGAAAGCAAAAGTGAGCACACCCAAAATGTTGGTCATAATCCCTCACTGCAAGTATGATAGGTTAAAAGTTAAACAGTTTGGATATCCAAATTAGTTTTAGCAATGTCACCACATTTACTAGGTGAGTAAAATGTTATTATAACAGAAAGGAATGATGCCCAAAACCTGAGTTGTAATAAATCTGAATTATCAATCAGGTAATTATTTCTTAAGATGGAATGAGTTGCTTAATTTTATTATATTGTCCTTTCTTTCAAAAAGACTTTATTCAAAAGTGTTTTGCTCTTGCTCTCTCTGGGAAAATACTTGTGGCAAAGCATCTGAGATTCCCCCCCAAAAAAAAAAAAAAAATCTCTTTACCTTTCTCCCCGCCTCGTTGTTATGCAAGTTCATCAGACGGCGTGGGGTCTTTTTAATCTCGCGGGCATCCACGAAGCGACGGGAGAACTCGATGCCGTACTTGATGTCAGCCGAGCAGCCTCCCCACTTCCAGCCTTCCTCCTGATTGTAATACCCCTGCTTCTCCCGGTCGCAGCCGCACTGGCTCAGGTTGCCCTGGCTGCACGCCGCTGTGATAGCGTGGGCCACCCCTGCCGCCGTGATGGCGTAGGTGAACGCTGCTTCCCGACTGCCTGAAAAAGGGAAAAGAGATCTTTTTCAGGAAAACTGGGATGAGATACTACACGTACATGACTTCAGTATTCATTTTGACCTCAAACAAATGTTTAGCACCTGCCATAAGGCATTAAGACCAATGTAAATATGTTGTTATCTACCCTACTTTGGTTTTGTGAACCTTAAACCTTAATATTCCTGTCACATCATCTAACCACCCCAGAGAATGTGATCTTGATAAACAGTACATAAATTCAGAGGCCGCTCTATCAGTCTTGATAACTACCAAATTTTTCCTTCCGTCTTTTTAGCAGCTTCTCTCCTGCACCTTGGTGGAAATGTGGTCACATTTCCGACCGCAAAGTCCTCGGGCCCGGTCTGCCAGAGTGCAGTGTTGGAATTCCAGTGTGGGGAGAGCTGGTCTAGGTGCTGTCCAAAGTGCTGAATTCCTCTACAGAAGCACCTTGTACTGCTGCCCACACTGCAAACAGCTGGGGTCTGCAGGTCTCTCTGCCTCACTCACACTGAGCACTGACAAGAGAGGAGACGCTCTGAGGAGCCAGAGCCAGACGGCACAGAGACTGCACCAGATCAGCTAAACCTAAACAGGAGATATTTTACCTGTGGTGTATTATTTGTTATGCTGGAACACTTCTGCGTGAAATTCCGTTTCATGTTATTTCTGTGCTGTCATTTGAGCATGTGACCTCTCAAATTGAAGGACAACATTATTCCCTGAGTTGCGAAGATTGTCGTCCTGCTTGGGCTTATGCTACTGGATGAAATGCAAAAAAAACGCTATCATCAAGCGAAAAATAACACAGTTTAATGGTTCTGAAAAAGTATATATTGTGAGGAGACAGGTTCTTACTACAGCAACAATATATTTCACAACCTGAATGATTAAGTCTTGTAAGCAAATTTGCACCGTAGCTAATGGTTATATAATATGTTGATCACATTTTCAATTAACCGATTAATCATTTAGTTTATATAATGTCTTCAAATTTCCCAGAGCCCATTGTGATGCCTTCAAATACCGTAGCTTGTTTTGCGCACATTCAATTTGCAGTAATTTAAATTGGAGAAAAGCTGCGAATCCTCACACTCGAGTAGCTGAAACTGGAAAATGTTTGACATTTATCCTTGATAAATGACTGAGGCACTGAAACAAATCACGTGCTTATCATGCTGTCATGTACAAGTTCTTTGGAATATCAGTGATGGATTTCAGATGAAAAGGACCATGGTACACATTTAGCCAAAAGGTCGATGACAGTAATGATAGCGTACCATTTTCTTCTCTTCCTCAATATCTCAGAGTCCTCTACTACTCTCCTAATGGCCACAGAGGGATCCGGCTTAAAAGGCCTCTCCTGGTCTAAAACAGACTGTGGGTTATTACAACCCCAGTCTCCCTTCAACTGGCAGTAATCTGGAAGGGGCCGAGCAGCAGAAACAAGCCTAACCGCAGAGTGTTTCAGGGGGCCTTTCAGCATTTGGAGAGGAATGTTTCCTAAGTCTTTTGATGTATGTTGTGTAATGTACTCAGTTGCAATTATTGGAATCTCTCGAGGTAAACTTTTTTTCTGCACTGCAGAGTCATAAAGGCTCCTTGCTGATATACAATTTCTTCAATATCTTTCAGAGTTACACAGCTACGAAGCTCGTCAGATCAGTTTTGCAACAAACTTTACTCCGCAGAAAAGAATCAAAACAGCAACTGCACATGGCAGCAGAATTGGGTGTGAAGAGCGAGCAATGATAATAATAATAAGAATAACTTATCATTTTTGATGAGTTCTGGTGAATATTAATCTGTCAGATCATGCGCGGTATTGGACTATATTTTGCCTGTGACATGCTCAAACATGTCAGATGTGACAGATTTACAATATGTTTTCATAGGAATAGAGTTTAAACAAATACACAAAACCTTCTGAGTGCAAAAGGGAGCTACAGCGCATTTGAATCTAGTGAAACACAAAATGAACTGTCATGTAATGTAAACATTCAGTACCTACAATAAATACACTGTCAGATGTTGCAGCCATAGCCGCAGTCGTATCCACTAAAAACAGAAATAATATCCTAAAACGACCAAACGAGGAGGAGACGTTTACATCTGCAGCAGCAAAGTACAACAATAAAGTGAAAATTATATGGAAACAAAACACAAAAAAATGCCTCAGATATGAGAAGAAAATACAGTATGGCCTGTGTCATCTTGCCTGACCAAATAAACTCTTCACCATTTTGAAAGTTACTAGGCATAAAATCTTTGCTTATTTTTACCTTATTTCATGGAAGCAGACTGTGCAGTCAGTTAGAGTCAAGGCTGCTAGTGTTAGGTGGAGCCAGGCCTAGACTAGCTATGACTGCTTTGCAAAAGGCACAACAGTAAAATATACTTATCTATTGGGCTTCATATTGCCTATGTGTACTTTGTTTCAGGCTATAAGAAGTTATTTGCATGAAGTGCTTCTAAATATACTGTTTATATGTAGTCATTTGCAGCTGTTTTCCATTTCATTTCCTCCTCTTTCTTCAGAGGGACTTTTGCACCTCTTATTCTAGTCTCAGGGGCATTTTCTGAACTCTCAAAGACGTTTTCACCCAAAGCCACTGTTAATTTCCTATCCTGGCACTGGTGCTGCAGAGCTAATACCACGGCCACAGGTTTGCCCGGTGGGGACTGACTCACAACCACTTGCTTCTCTGGTTAAGCAGCAGAGCTGTGCCCCACCAGCTTGTGGTAACACTCTGCTGCCCCCACCTCACACGCACACATGCACAAACGGGGAGCACGCACAACTTGTAATGTATGTGCATTCATACGCGTAACACATGCACGCAAATACTCAGTCACCGGCCACATAGTAAAAATACACAACACACTCACACACCACCCTCCACCCTCACACACATACACTGTTAAAAACACATTTGCACATAGACACTCAAACAGAGCGTCACTGTAATGTTTAAAACAGGATAAAGGCAGTTTCCAGAGAAAGGGTGGTTCCCTGAGCCATAGATGCATGCCCATTTCTGGGCCCATTGAGTTGTGCTGCTCATGGGGAAAATGATGATGATGGAGCTTGTACTGGATGTCACCCCCTGGTGGGTCTGGCACTGCCAAGGCTCTGCCTGGCCATAATGAAAGCCAATTACACAAGCCATGGAACTGTGGTGATCAAGACCCTCTTTTTACTATGTGCAATGAACCAAAGAAGACATCGGAAATCAGATTTTCAGCGCTTAAAATACAGTGTCCGCTGGGTATATAAATATCCATTTGGAGCATTTAGTCCAAATAAAATAAAATGATTTGTGATGATTTGAAGTTATTCACTCCAAATAAATGTAGTAAACCTTAGTAAATGTTCAGGTTGGAATTTAAGAGAAAGTGACAGAAATCAGAGATCCAAAGGTTCTGATTGTGTACTGAACAAAACAAATATACTAATATAACCACAACCAGGAAACTCCCTATTTCAATAACAATGCTGTTGACTTGTGGATGCTGTGTGTGCATTATCATTGTGCTCCTGTGCCCTCAGGAAAGGAAGGCCCTGCTTTACTGAACAGACGTGTGGTCGATGAAATGTGGAGGAGAAAAAGCACCCTTAACAGCAGTAGAAAGCCCTGAAGAAGCTGGCCCCAGAGTCCTGACAGCCCTCCAGGAGGAACCACCCTGGGATAGCCTCGCAAGCTGCCAGTGGAAAATTGGAGTGACCAGAAAAACCTCAATGAACTTGGAAACATCCAGGAGAGAAGAATGAGGGAATATTAAACCAGATGTCTAATGGAGTTTAGTGGCAAGTGTCTGCTACACTATCCAAGAAAGCAGGGAAGAAGAAGATCAGCCCCGCTTCGCCCTAACAGGTACAGTAGTTCATAAACAAGTACAAAACATCCTGTTATATTTCTGCGTCAGGGACTAAAACCGGAGATGTAGTGAAGGCCACTGACTCAGTATGCCTTGGCCTTCACATTAGCTGACCACACCACTTTGGACACTTGCCCCTGCTGCGATGCCCGTCGTGCTCTTCTGACCATCTGCCAGAGCCGGGACACAAAAAGAAGTCTCTGGATGTAGTGGCTCGCCGCTAAAATGGCAATCTGTGTTTAGAGCCGGAGGAAGGCACACCGCTAGACAAATTTCACATGACACAGCGCAGGAGATTTACAACTGACGACACTGCACAGGCAGAGCTGGTACGGTATAAGCTAGCTGATGTAGTAACACTACCGCTGACCTCAACGGGCCTCGTTTTCTTCACCGCTCACAGGCCAATGGTTAGGCTTTGTTGCTGACAAGAGAGGAAAGGGAAAAGATATACTGAAGAGACTTGGACAAGAGACAGACTGCTCTGTCTGAAAAACCAACCCAAGGTCAGTTGTTTTGTGCGTCCATTCGGTCACAAGATAAAGGGCTGAAAGCTAAACTGCAGGAATCCGTTTTCTAGCTGGGGAGACACCGAATAGACAACAACCTTTTTATGTCTTATTTCATTATATCTTTTACCTTACCTTCTGAATACTCTTTTGCACTTCTTGGTTTCTGTTATGACTAAACTCACTTATACAGAATGGCTAGTGTATATATTGTGCTTGTTTAGCTTCTTTTCTAAAATCTTGTTAGCTGTGTGTTAATGTTTAGTTTCTGGCACAAAGAAAGCTACTGACAACCACTCAAATTTCTTCTTTACGTCAGCATACTTGGCCGCAAAACCAGATTTTGATTCTGACAACTGAGGTTGCACAAGCACATAAGAAGGTCTGCAGTGAAGCATGCAGACACACAGCGCTGCAGCACAGATACAGCTTCATTACTGCAAAGGTGAGGAGGACTGGATAGAGTAAGAGGGTAGGAGAAGCCATTCAGCGCATGAAAAGGGCTGGAGAGAAGTAGTTCAGGCTGGAATACTGGTCGGGGTCTTGCCAAGCAACAGGAACACACACACACACACACACACACACACACACACACACACACACACACACATATGCA